AAAGCGAAACTAAAGCTAAGAAGATTGTTAGTTCCGAGTTCCATAGTATCGAGTTCTAGAGCCGACTTAAAAATCCTAAAAATTGAACTCTACGCTCGGTAGACGTTAAATCGATGTATTAGTTCAGAGGATTACACTATCAATTTGTATATTACAATTTACTAATAAACCTTGTAATAACTAAGAATCGGATTGGTAAACCCTTTGACTATTGTAAAACACAACAAAATTTAGTAATATATTTAACGGATGGTTCACCTTCAGGGGTAACAAGAATGCACCTCTTCTTTTTAGAAAAATTCAACTTGTTTGACATTATTGTTTCTAGTAGCTTCTCAAGAGTTTCTCTCCTAGATTATATTGAGCTTTCTCAGTAGTGTTTCATGGAAGGAATATGAATGATTTTATCTCACATTTGGTCAAACTAAACGAAAACTGACGTCTCAGTAAATTAGGAATTTCAAAGCTGGAATTCCGTGAAACTGCAGTTATGTTATAGATGAATTTAACGAGCCCACTTTGGCTAAAACGTCTTACACGTAAAGCCTACTTTAACAAAACAAAATTGTCTTAATCCTATACACGCATTAAACTACTGGTACTTGGCGTATTTAACTAGAAACTTCCGTCAAAATATTACCGAATACACTTGATCATAATGTCATTTTGAGTTTTGGAATTATTTTTTTCGTTATCTTTACCAGTCATGGTTTACATATACTCCTTGTTGGGATTACATCAGATGCCATCATCATCGTATTTCCCAAGTACTGTATTTTCCCCTATTGCATAATATCGGCTGGGATGTTCCTTAATATCCAATTAATGCTAAACATCGTTCACTTTTCTGTGTGATCTACGCGTAGCTTCTAAGGATATGATATAATCAACAGTTTTGCTTCTGGAAATCGAGTTTTATCCACTTTTCAGCCGACGATAGTGTTGGAAAGTGAAGGGATTTGTTTTTAATGTTTAAAAGTGTATTTTAAGTAGGTACATTTGTTTTAACCCCATCTTTGTTGTCTGTTGATGGTGTCGTGATGGTTAGGTTGGGTAAGTCTGTAAGTTATTCGTAGGTTTTTCTAGATATGGAAAGGAGTTGCTACCAAAATCACAGCGTATATGACGAGTCGTTTGGACCTGAGGTGAACGCAAAAGTGGCATAGCACCCTAATTACTTGACCGATGAAAAATAACTCCACAACATACCTGCAAACAAAAAAGAATCAGACTTAGGTCTAATAAAATAATACTACCTAATTAAAAAAATCTCTTTTGTTGCTGCAAAGAACACAAATAATGTAATCTTTAGCTAATCTTGTCAAATCCTTCCACGAAATAAATAAATTAACCAATTTCCAATAATATGGTTCAATGAATCTACAGTGGCCATTTAATTCTCCATGAGGACAACACAAGTGATGACATACGGCGTTTATTACCCAATATTATCTTGACATTCAATAATTGTAGGATAATATAATATGCAATGCATTATTACTCTTTTAGATCAGTTGAATAGTTGTTTAACAGCAAAAAATGCTGATTGAAAAAGGTCAAAACCCAATATTTAGAAGCTTCTTACCTCCAATTATGTCATATAAATATGTTCAACAAAATTTATAAACACGTGTTTTGACTTATGGGGGGGGTTTTACAGCGGTCCCGGGCCCATATGTACCTAAGTTTTAGGTATGATGGTAGTTATGACAAAATAGCTACTTTCCTATGGACTTGCTCAACAATTGTGAAAATATGAGGATAGAAATATTAAAAAATATTTAGAATCTTTGTTTACAACGAAAAACAAAATATTGAGTCGGAACGTATGTTATTTAAATTTTCTTCTAACGAAAACAATTGTATTCGGTCATTATTACAGTACTAACCTCAAAATAAAGATTAAAAGCACATTGTAATCGTCCAGACCCGTAGCATGCAATTTTTATAAAATAGTTTTTTCGGAACGCGGCACTCCGGTCCGTTTTTATCTCTATGAATATCTTGTAGGCGAGTGAAAACTGTATTTCGTTACTAACCTATTCTAACGATGATGACTTAACTTTTAAAACTATAAAAACATACTCAAGAGACATTACTTGGGCGATATGTTGCATTCAACTAGTAAGAGAAGACACTTTACAATGTTAATCTACGGCGTCGGTACTGTGGCCGCGTGGCGGCAGCTAGCGAAAGCGTGTACAATGTTATAATACTTTATCGTGGATTGCGAACAGAATAATGCACACTTCACATTTAATTTTGTTTGATTAAACGGTTTCAGAATGGACTGTAGACACTCTATATGCAGCCTCTGAAAAACAAACAATGGCGAATGTAATTGAAAAAGAACAATGTACTGGACGTCTTTCTTCCTTCTTTCGTCAGATGCTTATTAGGAGATTGAAACTTTCTCCAGTTGAAAAGACAGTATTTTACTTCTGGATTGCTGGATCATAAAGTAAGCTTCGTTACTGTAAAAACACACATTTTATCTACATTTTTGCTAGTAGAAAAACTAAGCCGAATATAAAAATATTTATGCATTTTTCACTCTTAGTTCCAATTCTAGAATAAGTGTTTCAATCACGATTTTCTTAATAGAGAAGAAAGCATTATGACTCAATCCACAACCACAATAATGTTTATATGGATCATTCCATTTAATACACGTTTATAATAACGGTTTTGCAGGATTGTATACTAAATGAAAATTAGCCTACAAGTGGGCGAAAAATCAATTGAGCATTGATGTCTTTGGTTATAATATTTCGTTTGGGTTTGGATTAAAGTTATTATATAGAGCATACCTTAATGAAGTAAGTGGTAGATTTGTAGCTAGATGTGTTATTATCTGTGTGAATAATGTCTCAAAAGATTCCATAGTTCGAGCCATCGGGGTTACAAAAGTTTATTGGGTTTGAATGGACGTATAGCTTGTTAGATGCTTGTTTGAATGGACTCTTCTCTGCGTTGTTAGATGCTGTATAGGTTCAAATGGTTACTAAAGGTTCAAATCCCGCTAATTACTGATGGCTTTTAGATATGAAAATTTGATAATGCTGAGTTTGATGACCTGGTGTAGGCTATCCTACAGGTCTCTGAGTGGGGACACCGAAACTGCTACCACGTTTTATGATTATAATCCATACTGAAACTGCCACAGCTATTAGGAAGGATTATAAGGGTGTTTTCGAATGTGGTAGAAATACATAAACGATTCCGTTTCCCGAGCGCCGCGTCTCCCCAGCGCCGAGCAGGCTATCTGGCATAATCTGACAGTTTTGACAGCCGAATTGGAATTCACAAAAGCAAGGAACTGCGGTTAAGGCGTGTGACCAATTGAGCATTGTAGACAATCAACACTGGAATTACGTTAATTTTACATACATTTCATTGCAGATATGATACGATTCGAATTCTAAATTAACATTTAATGAATATTTTTTAATTCAGCTTACTGAATCTCGTACTTTTGAGATGTTCGCACTTAATCTTGAATGATTAACCTAACCTAACCTAACGTAACCTAACCTTTACTGCTTCACAGATTAAACTCATTTATACGATTTTAAAATAGTAGGTATAGCACTTCTGCATCACTGAGCAGAACCTTTGGTAATTTATGGCCTCGGCGCTGGGGAGACTCGGCGCTGGGGAGACGTAACGTAGAGAAACTGCCACAGCGGCTGGGCCAGGTATACGGGGATAAACGGGAGACTTATAATTCCCATTTCTGTCTTAACACTTTATGTTAACTTCATCTTCCTAATATTTCTTTCAAAATGGTGGATGATTAGAAAAATAAGGGTGTGATTTGCACTTTCGTATTTATACTTTGGGAGTTATTTTCTACGTTAATTTAAGGTTTTGGTGTTACGACTATTAGAGCTCTCAATAAACTACACATTACTTAAACTTTTTAAGTATTAACTTCGTCTCGTGTGAATATATATTTACTTTTCTTTTACTACTGTACTTTGTTTAGTTTTGTTTCAACATGATTTTTACTATTATATATGTTGTTTCAAATGTTTATAGTTTTATACATTTTTTACATCATAATCTATATTTTAAATAGACTTTTCATTTTAAAATATTGTTTTTTATAATTATGTACCATAAATTTATAACGCTTTTATCCCTAAAACATCCATTGTGTTTTATTTATACTTCAAGACATGTATCCTATTGTATGCATTACATGATATTGTTATTGTGTAATTTCGACGATGCCTACCTACACCTTAGTATATTTTTAAACTTAAAATTTAGTAAATAAGAGTTAAATTAAGTAAAATAATGATAACATATAAGTTTATCAATTTCTTTAACACCAGTATAACTTGAGCTGCCATATAATACATTTAGTAAGAAGAATTTTACAAACCACTACAATCTTAATTCTTCAGAACACAATTATTTCTACCTTCATCAGTAAATTAAATTACTTTTAACCTCTTAAGTATCGTGATTTAAAGCATTTAACTATGTAATGAGCAATGTCAAGTGTTGTGTCTTGGCAGTTTCAGTACACCCCTCTGGGTTTCTTAGAGAGAGAACCAGAAAAAAATATCTCCCCCCACTAAAAGCCATGATATTTTCTTTTGTCTTTTAGTTTGAAAATATCCATCTTCTTCACAAGGGAGATTGAATGAACAGGTCTGCTTATCTACTTTCTAAAAATATCTTTTTCATAGGTTTTACAGTATCCAGATTGTAAAACTATTTCTATTTCACAGTTGACTTTTGTCACTTATTGTGCATGGACGTAGTTGAGACTTGTGCATATTGGAAAAACTCTGGATGTTAGAACAAGTATAACAGATGGACCAAGGAAAACAATACATGCGCTTAGAAAAATCCTAAACACACACAATAATTCAAATGTTCTTTATTAATGTTAAAGAAACAGTTATAACAATGTAAAACTCAAATTTGATCAGACTATGAATTTATTTATCAGCAATAATTTTAATGCTGGACTCAAACTTTTTCAGAGTGCAATTTGACCATGCGTTTCCCATTGGATGGAAGATTTGCCAGAGTGTCGTTAACTATAGAGACAGACATTGCTTCATGAAGAAAATGCTGTCATTGTAAGGTACTGCTCTACACACTGCTTTACTCCAACATTGCTCTACTCCAACAATTCAAGTATCTTTTACTAAGTTTGCAATAACTTAAGGATGATGGAATCACTAAGATACACAATTGGTTATGTAACTACGAATATTTTTTAATCAAACAAATTGCTTTACACTGCACTTATATAGTTTAAGAAAAACGTGAATTTGTTCGAACATTTTTTTTTTTTTTACTTAGAAAGAGTTCACTCATATTTGGGTTAAAATACGCACATAGTGGCGTCCCCATCTTAAATAATTGATAATTGATAATTGATTGAGTTGTGACGAAATTGTGATAGAATACGGGCTCTCAGGTTCAAGCCCAAGCAGACCTGGTCGTTGCTTACTTAATTCCCTACTATTCTAGCTGGTCCAACCCAAATAGGAAGATTAGTCTGCTCAAAGTATTAGACACTTTTGTGGACGAAAATTGAGACGGTAGCGCGATGGAGACCTTATTTTATGGACAGCCCTCGAAATGGATTTGCTTACTTAAAAGGTTATTGAGTTTACTGAGAGCAGTAATCACAGTAATCTTTCCCTCTTTTCCTAAGTCTCCTTTCTGATCAGGTTACTGAATATTTTGCGCTTTAACGGTTTTATAAACAATCTAAACATTCCAACAATTTTCAATATCACAATCTCAGTTTAAAGTTGTTGAAAAATTTTACTTACACTCGTACTTTTTCATTTGTAATATATTTACAACACAACAAATACATCTTCGTCTGCTCTATGAGCATTTCACTACTAGCTGTTTCCTTTTTAAATACAATGAATACACATCGTGAAGACCTTGCTAGGGTAGAGTGAGAGATGTGAAAAATTGCTGACTCTTTATTTTTTATTTTGCTCCATAGGTCAGTAATCATGGGTCTAGTAAAAGGGATTTTAGCGAATTTCCCTATAGGGAAGTAGCTAATACTGTAGGTCTCATGGTAAGACCTAGGCCCGGGACTGGTTTACTTACTGTATTCATTTTGATGTTCCCAGAGGCCAAAAACACTATTCGTTCAAATTTTTATATTTTATATATGAATTTGAACGGATGGTGTTGTTGGCCTCTAGAGCCCTCAAAACGAAAAAGTAAATCGGTCCCGGGTCCAGGTCTTACCATGAGTACTAAGGTTGATTACTCAGTACCATGAGTACTGAGGTAATAGCTCATTCCCTATATGGGAATTTCGCTAAAAGGTTGTAGTTGGCTTGTTTATGGATATATTTTTATCAAACTTGGGCAGATTTATTTATTTTATACTGAGCTATTAATATTTTATTTAAAAAACTAACTTTATTAGTTTCCCTGTGGCAGCAAACCTAGGTACTCGTAAATATAATGTTATTTAAATAGATTTAATTGAAAATCTATTCGGTCAAATAGAAATTTGCTTAGTCGGCCGGTTTGCTGCGGGGTATTTATAGTTTAAATAGATTTTCAAATGATCTTATCTGTACAGTGAATGCTCTAATATCCTTCTTTTTTCATATCAATAAAATAACCAAAAATATATTAAAGTAAGGTAGTTAGTTATTACCTTTTTTGTTGCCTCTATAATACTCAAAATATAGTTGTTAAAAAAGGTTATAGCCACTTGAATATAATTCCAGCTCTTGAACCTCAAAAAATAAAAATAAACCCCAAAATAGGATTTTAAGACCAGGAAAAAATAGATATTCAGTGTTTCGTAAAATTACTTTTAAAATTTTAACATTCTTTTAGCACATTATTTTTAAACATTCTTTCATTTATGTTAAATGTTTCTTTTTAATTAACTTATTCTATTAAAATTGAAACAATGTGAGAATGACGCTGATATATGTGTTCACCATTGTTACTGTTATTATGTTATAAATGTGTATTAGTGTTATTGGGAACACTGTTTATTTTTTAATTTTGTTTGAAGCCTTTTCTTTTTTTAAATTTTGTATGCTTTTTTTTACACAGACAGTTAAACATGTTGTCATGTTTATAGAATCATTTAATATTCTATGCATTCTTATTACAGGTGGAGTTAGTGAAGCACGGCATGCAAGAGATGCGCGGAGGTCAAAGATAGCTATGGAATACATTTCAAATCCTTCTGAATACCAGAACCCTTTTGGTTTTCGGCTACAGCCTCCTGACAAGGATCGAGATGCTGTCGGCTCCAGCAGAGACTCTGTGGCAAGTTATAAGCAACGCATCGACTCAATGTTTGGTGAAAATCACTCAGTGGCGAGTGGAACACACAGTAGGAGACCTCGCAGGGACCCACGAAAAACACAATCCGTCATTGATGGAGAGGATGTTGTCAGCAAGATGATTGAAAACGACAATAAAATGCTCATTAAAAACATGGTGCAAGCAAGAATAGAGAAAATGTTTGAAGAAGTCGAAGGTTCAGGAGATATCAAGACACCAAGGTCGAAAGTTGATCCCAGTACATTTTTTGTGGATTATTTAGGATCTCTTCCGTTAGCAAATAAGGTTTCTTCCCTCGAAGGATTACAAGAGCCCTTGAAGGAACTTTATCTGAATTATAAACAAATGGGAAATATCAATCCAGTATTTGAAGACACTCTAGAAATTTCCAATTGTGGATTGAAAGTTAAATATTTGAATGAAGAGCAAGATGAAATCATTGAACAGCTAAATCCTTTTCCTACAATTGCTGTTTGGGCAGCTGTTAAGTTTGTTTGCCGGCCAAGAGGTCTTGATGTAGGAAAAGAATTTGGATTGGAGTATGCTTTTCTCCCTCTAATCTCGGACCCAGAGAGTGTTGACAAACTGACACTGTTCAGAAAACTCACACCCAATGAAGCATCTTACTTTACAGGAGATTACTACAGTGATCATTCACCTCTGTTTGTGGCTGTTATGAGAAAACTAGGAGTTTCCCGTCAGCTGGAATGTCACGGCTTTGTTTGTGATTCAAGTGAAAATGCTATCGTCATAGCGGCAAACCTATACAAAGCCCTTGTCATCACAATGGCTAAAACTCAGTCTTCCGAAGAAAATGGAAAAAAGAGAAATTTAAAACACAAGAATGGCTTGAGCAGTGTTTGCAGTGTTGCGGGCTCTAGCTTAGCCGAGGATTTAAACCAGTTGTGTATATCAAAAGATGAGCAAATCCCACCTAAACTACCTCCAGCAAACCCCAGAAAAAATTGGAGTCCAATTTCATCCACCACAAATATATTTCAAAATAAAAGCTTACTGGTAAAAATTCCGCCACCAAGACCTCCACGAAAAGGTAGATCATCACCCAGTCAAACCTCGCGAGACACTGTGGTGCTTCGAGTAAGTCACCCTGACCCTGATGAAATCCTTCAACTTCCTAGTCCTGAATCAGAATCACCACAATTTCCTAAATCCAATAGTTTTAATTTTAGTAGTACAAACAAAATAGAAAACACTATGAGTTCAATAAAGAATGGCCCAGGTAACTCAGACTGCGAGTTTCAAAATAGGGATGCAACAGAAAGACTATCTTATATAGATAGGAATTTTGTAGGAAAACAAAGTAGTTTTAGCAGAAAGGAAAATTCTGATAGAGGTGATATTTTGACCAAAGTTGCTATTCCAAGAAGCCATAGTTTCTTAAATGCCAATGGTCCGCTTAGTTCTAGATACCATCGACATCCTAGCTCAGCACCACTTGTTGGAAATGCAATTCAAAGGAAGAATAGCGTTGGAAGCCCCCTGGGTTTGAATGAATTATTCACAGAATTTCGACTGCAAGAAGGGCTCAACAACATGGAAGAAATATTAAATGCAATCATCGACCCTAATGGAATGTCTTTCAACGATCTCAAGCCTATATATAAAGAATTTTTGCTGAAACTGGCAGTTACACTTACAAAGGATGAAATGTATCAACGCAGCAAATCCATTATGCAACGGCAAAAAAATCGAAGGAAAAAGATAAATAGTAAAAGCAGTAAGCTGAAAAAGACATTTACAACCACAGGATTTCGAAGAGCAATAAGAAGATCGTTGCTAAAATTCAGATTTAAAAAATCAAAGCCTAGCAAATTCAAATTATCATCAGTTTTATTCCCTTCTTGTTCCAGATACAAGAGTCCAAATCCCATACAAAAGAGTGCCACTTGTCTAAAAAGCTATGGGTTCCCTTACAGCTCATCATCAAACGAGTCTTCACTTTTGCCAAGTAAACGTAGATCATTTCAAGTTCAGAAATCGCAATCTAATGCATTAAGTGCACAATTATCGAGAGAAAAGTCTTTAAGTGTTTCCCCTCCTAAGTCAACAACTCCATTAAAAGAGCCAAAACGAAAAGGCAATAGTTTCTCTGGGGACAGTGATTTCTTTAGTTTGATAGTCCCTGAGAAAAATGGGAAACCTTCACCTCAAAGCAAGAACAGACCTCATGGATCCGAGAACTGTCTCCATCAAGCATCCAGTGGTTACTTTTCCTGTAGTGATTGTAGTTACGACAGTGAATCATGTACATGTGCATCTGCAGATAAATGTTACTGTTCAATGGGTAAGCACGGTCCCACAATCGAGTTGAGTGAGAACGATCAAAAAAACGACTCATTAGTATCATGTGAATGTGATACAGACAGTTGCTTTGAAAGTGAAAAATGTTATTGCAATCAGAAACGAAAACCTTCTCTTTTTGAACAATTGAAAGAACAAGGCTTTGCAGCATCCGAGTCCAGTTTGTCAAGAGCCAACTCTCCAAATACCGCATGGCAGAGAAGCGAAGCTGAAATCAAAGACAAATCCAAATATTCCAAACAGAATAAAACGGAATTACAACCCTCTAAGAGCTTAGAGTTTTTGAAAATCCGTTCTCGTTGCAATTCAACAAGCCAATTGAACATGGAAGAGAAGCACTGTGGTGGTTTGAATAACATCTACCAATCACCGGTAGAGGTGTTTGAAAATGGATATAGACAAGATCAAGAGCGGAAAAGTTCCTTCAGCAGTAGCCCAGTAACATCTTCTTCTGAAAGTAAACTCAACAAATCTCTCAGCTCACAAAGAAGAAGTTACAGTTCTGACAACCTTGCTCTGGACTACAACATGTTTTCTACAACGTCAAAAGCAGATCAGGACTCTCCAGTAGAAGCTAGTGTTCACCAGAGGAAAGTGCTGGTTGTCTCTACAAGAGATCCCAAAGGAAGAGTTACCTACATGAGTGCAGCTCAGCGTTGCCATACTCCTATTCGTATCTTTAATTCAAAGACCGATGGTACAGCTGATGCACTTTCTGTTAAGAAGTCAGCTGAAATTGCAGCTTTGTTCTCAAATGTAAAATTCAACCATAGGAGTGGTAGCTCAATCAGCAGTGTTAAGGAAGAAGCAATTTACAACACCTTGGAACCTCATGATTATTTTTATTCAAAAGGAAGCTCTAGCTATATGAAAACCTCAAGTTTGGAGAACTCACTAGGGTATTTTCCATAAAGATTTGTATTTTTAATGGCATAGCACACCGAATTCATCAATTTTAAATACATTTTACTATTTCAAATCACAAATTGTTTAAGTAAGGAGATCATGAGAAAATTGTTCATTGGTACACTAATTATCTAAGAGTAAGAATTCAGATATAGCATAAGGAGTATAATTGTTACACCATTTCCCGATTATTATCTGACCTTATACACAAAAATATATTGAGGAAAGACAAAACGTATAAAATAAGCCTATTGTAAATGTGTTTATTGTTGCATTGTGATAACATTTATCATAATAATCTTAGTTTTTTCTAAAACTCAAATGAGTGAAAATATGTTTAATATATTCATTTTTATAACCCTTTATAAATTATGTATTTAACTTGGCAAGTTCACAATTCCTACTAATATTACAAATTAATTAGTAGAATATTTTCATTTCCTTTTACCATTATTGGTTTCACCTTTGATGACACTAGTTTAGACTTAAAGAATTATATTTCACACAAATATGTTTACTTTAATTAATCAATAGAGATATGCTGTACACATTATATATAATATGTATAAAAAAGTGTTCAAAAAAGAAGGGAACTTAATTTACGTTGTGATTACTTGGGTCAAAATAAGCAAAAGGTTTACATAAACATATGTATATATCGTTTAGTTTAGCCTCTGTCTGTCTGTGCTTTTTACACAAATATTCATAACCGAATTGTCCTACAAAGTCAATATTCTGCAAAATATCCATCTTATTGGCCCGCTATGTTTGTGCAAAATGAGAACAAAGACTCCTAAACAATTTCAAAATGGTGGCTTTAAACAAATGATACCAAATTTCAAGATAATGATTAAAAACTGTTTGCTGTAAAAGTACTTTAAAATTTAAATACAAAAATCTAAATTAAGCTAAAATCAAGAAAAACATTTTTTATAAGAAAATCTTTTTTTATTCCACGGTTTTTTAATAATGCTCCCTAAACTGTACCTGAGTGGAGACATTGTATATTGTTTTATTATACATCAGAAACTCCACTATAAATACTAATACATTATAACTGTCCAGCATGTACAGTTAAGGAATCATTATAGAAAACCATTGGAAAAAGGACCATAAAGAATCTGTTTTGTATTTATTTTAGCTTAATTTTTTTTTTTTTTTACTTTTAAATGTTATAGTGAGTTTACAACAAACAATTGTTGATCAATATTACAATAATTCAGTCAATTAAAATTGTAAGAGATATATTTTTTTTAATTTCACCATCACTCAGTCACAGCGTCCTAGGACGAATAACAACTCTGATAATGGGCAAGATAAATTTGTTTTGGAAAGTACCAAAAATCATTTTAAAATGTATTAGAAAAGCTAAACCCAAAAAAATTATACTTGTTTTTGAAAGTTTGTGACTGAAAATGTTAAGGAGTTATAAATGTTTTTGTAAAAACACATAGAGACAGATTCTAAACAAAACAAGAATATACATATGTTTATATCAAGATATTTTTCTAATTTTGACCCAAGTAATCACTACATAAAGTATGCACCCACCTTTTTTAGCACCCTGTATATGTAAACTTGTATTATACTACCTTGTACAGTTGATTATTTTTGCATGTTTATGACAACCCCCAGGTTAGGTAACATTACCATCCATGTGCAATAATTGTATTGTAAGCATAATAAATTTAAGTTTTTCTCAAAGTTTTGTAAAATTATTACCGATAGCAACGTTTACCCTACACGTTCACCCCTAACCAACGATTTACAACAATCCTAAAAAAACTTTATATCGTTACTCCTAACTTGTATTTTACGATAGTATTGTAAAGATAACATCAAAATCATAGATGATTGACCGGAGTGTTCGGTCAATCGATCATTGGAGTATCCTTTTGTCATCGTAACAAAAACAATCATTTGTCAATTCAAGAAATTATGTTAGTGAGATGGTGCAGTTTATTGCAACTGGAAGACCCTGTGATGTCCTAAAACAGCACATTGTTACAATTTCCAATCTTAGCCACTTACATTATGTTTTCAGTACTCTCATGACAAAATAAACTCACATTACTACCACATTACCACTAAAATAAACTCTCTACTCATTACCCTCCATACGCGAAACCATACCTGGGCCTCCATTCTGTTAGGACACCAAGATATCGATGATTCTCAACCATCTGATGTTGTATGATATACTGCAAATGATGATGATGATATAATGCAAAAGCATATCATGTATATTGCAGATTGTTTGAAAAATAATTACCTATATGAAATTTTGCAAATACTTTACTATACATGAAACTCGTTATTTTTTTCTTTGCAATAGGTATTCTTTACACTCTTTTATAAGATGGATGAAATTATCTAGAGAAATATGCTCTGACAATGTATAGTTATATTTGATTTAAGACTCTCAAATTGTTGATAGGCATATTACATATCCGTTTCAGGCGTTCGTGCGGATTCACCAATGGTTTTGGGGTTCATCCAAGTATACAAATTCACCAATCTGCTTCGACTCAGGACAGGCACAAAAAATGGGTGAACCAAATAATCAAAGTCATCACATTTTCTAGTTCTGGCCACATTTCTTAGCAACACTGAATTAATTAACATATTTGGAATTCAAACTATCTTCAAAAAGATTTTGTGAATAACAAAAGGTGATCACGATGTTTTCTTGTAAATAAGACAAAGTCAGGCCAACGTAGTCATTATGCACTTCAGTTTGCCTTATTTTACAACAAAAAATCATATACCACCATTGAATATACACAGAATAGACTTCCCATGTAATGTAAAAATTTGAAGCAAAAAAACGTGGTGCAATCTGTTGAGATGGTCACCAATGATAATATTCTGTGTTAAGTGATAAACAAGTCAGCTGTTTTCTACAATACTGAATTGGTTTTAATTGATATTTAACCCAATACACTAGTAAAACCTGGTGAGATGGTCATGAACTTCATATTTTTTTTGCTTCAAATTTTTTTATCACATGGGAAGTCTACTCTGTGTATAGTAAATGATACCACTTAGTGCTGCGAAACTTCATTCGTCTCGGCCACCCCTGTAACTGGCTGTTATTAGAAAGCTACCCTTTCTTAGTCCAGGAATAGAGAAGGTGGTGATTTTGACTAGTTGGGTGGCCCATTCTTTGTGCGTGTCCCGAGTTAAGTGGATTGGTGAATTTCTGTGTTTGGTTGTTTTAAGCCATTGGTCAATCTGTATGTGACGTGACAGGTTCAAGTATACCACATAAAGAGGCCAGTTTCCAACCAAACCACACAGTTACCCTGTCATGTGAAACTCCTGCATTGATCAGAATAATCACAACAACAAAAAACTTATCTACTGTGTTGAACACACTACACAAACCAGGTACTGTTTGTCATAGTAGGCTACTTCAAGTCAGGTAAACATGTGGAATAATCTCTCAGGGTTCACACGGACAGAACTGTGGTATAAAATATCTTAGTTAGCAAACAGTTATTTTTAGAAATGTTTGGATTCAAATTTGTTCTAATTTTGATTTGGCTCTATTAGAAATATGTTTTTTTGCTTACATATTTACAGAGGGCAACTACCATCTACTAAATTTATTAAATAGATAAAACTTAGTGTTTGTTCTATCTTTAGTAAAATTGAGACTCGTAGACCTCGTTAGCCGAAAACTATCGCCACTTCGAACTTCGGGTTGACCGAGAAACTTTTGGGAGCTTATAAAATTATACACACATTTGGAAAAAAATAGATTTATTGGTTCATCGACTTACTAAACTACACAGTTATGGTTGATAACAAAAGAATTTAGAAATTTAAGTTAGAACAAAGGGTATACAATTTAGGATAAAGGGAGCGCGGAGTCGCGTCTATTTTAATTGAGATTTCAACGGACTGCCTTGTTCTTTCGTTGTCGGCAGCGCTTATGCGCCTCGCAGCACAGAAAACATACTACTGTATGTTTTCTGTGCTCGTGGGCGCACACTCCCTAACGGAGGCTAGCTCCATCATTAGAAAGCCCGAGTCAGCACCAGCAATGAACATATTCCTGTTTCATAACTTTTTGCTACTAGAATATTGTTATAATTTGAACAAGGTAGGAGATGGTTGTCAATGCTGGGATATTCATATGGAGACTCAAGTACCTTCAAATAATTACTCAAATAAATATTTCCTGAGTATCTTTGGACGATGATCATATTTATTAATTATTGATACTAATGTATTGATTAAGGTGTGATAGTCGATGTTAACACCAAACTAGGCCATTTATGCAAATTTGGCAGTTACTCCTACCCTGCCAATTCCTTATTTAATTATCTTATCTCCTGAGCAGTCGGTCAGAATTTAATTATTAGGAGTATAAACGGCTAGGCCGTTACACTCCCCCACCCTCTAGTTCGTGCTGGCCTCAGCACGAGGGTCTCTGAAGAAACCCTCACACCATGAGGGGTGTGTGTGCCTACTGTAGATGAGTCTCCTATCTCTTCTCCTATCCATCCCGTCATCACCTCAACCACCACCAACCATAGTGTTCAGTTTGGAATCTTTCTTTCTTTTGGGCGCGACAGAGAGAAATTAAATAAAATAAAATGAAAAATCTATCTTTGGAGTTGAATAGCGCTCCCTTTCACCTTTACACTTGATTGCCGACAATAACGCAAATCACAACAAATTACAATGTAGTTAATTGGGTTGCTGACCATTTCATTTACAAAAAAGAAATTGAGAATTCACAACAACTGAAGATTATAAAACATATAAACTATTAATTTATACATTAGGTAATCTACAAACTCTACTTGTTCATCCTGGAAACTAAGATCTAACAGGATTACCATAAATGTTGCCCAAATAACAAGGTTTTCAACTAATGACAATAAAAAGAATATATAAAACAAAACATCTGTTAAGCTAACGATAACTAACGACACAAAAACGAAAACAAAAGTATTAAACAAAAGGAAACATCGACGATTCCTGAGAACTCTGCAGACATAGGGGTCGATCCCCTTTACAGATAGCACAGGTTCAAGAATCACCCATCCAGGAAACTTGCTGCTCATGTAGGGCTACATTAAGTGGGATGAAATTTTTAATAACATGTTCAGCAGTGAATATATACAGTATAAGGCTAATAAATTGGTCCGCAAAATGATATGACTCAATTCAGGCAGGTCTCTAATTTTGAACGCTATTCGTCCGCTGTGAGAAGCAGGGCGGAGTTTCACTCGAAGCCGGCAAACGGAGCTTAGTAACCCCTGTTTATGCAGCAAGTATTCCTGACTCGCTATACTACACAACTATACACAACCCTATAATTAACAGAAGGAAACAGTATTAATCTCATTACCACCAAAATTGACATTCCCATACAATTGACACAATACAACAATATACGATAAATTGAAAATCAGCATTAACATATCAGTCACACCATCATAAATAAAACCAAGGGGAATCGAACCACTATTTATGCCAACGGTCCGGCTGAGGTACTGCTATTCCTAACTAACCTTTTACAACAAAGTGGTCCCCTAAATGAATATATTATGAAGGTGCAAACTTTTGGGAGCAGTTAATCTTGCGCTTCCTCCATATACTTAGCTAGACACATTCTCCAGTACCTCAGTCGACGTTTGAGTGGGAGGTCTGGTACGGTATCCTTGCGGAGGGGGTTCCGGACAGTTCCCCTCAGCATCAAGTAGCTTCACTTTATCTTGAGTTTAATAATCGTAATAAAAAGGATTTTCTATTCAAGTCGCACTAGGTGGCCACAAGAGAGGAGCACGGCCGTTGCACCTCCCTTCGTACACCCAGCTCAACTTTGTGTTGGTTCTTGCCCAACATCTCATCATCTAGGTGTTTGTCAATTTGTTTATTTACTTATCTTATTCTATGAGATTTTTTCGACAAAACAAAACACCATGAGATCAAGACATGGGGCATAGCTGTTACCAGGGGGTCGATATACAGCTATTAAGAGAATCTTTTCTTTATCTAAAATAACTTTTGCAGCTGTAATTTCACACTCCCCTTTTTCGCAAAATTCCATTGCATCGATGCTTTTGATTTCAATTTCGTCCTTTCCAAGTATGCGTACACCTCCATTATTCATATGTTGGTGGCAAAACGCACTTAACTTTCGTATAGCCTTTCAGCTTACAGCTTTCGAGCTCATAATCCCTTAGATTATGTTTGGTCACACAGACAATATCAGGACTTTCGTGTGCCAAGAAAATGAAAATTTCAAATGCCTCTATTTTAGAAGGTAGCCCACGTATGTTTTGGTGTAGGGGAAGGTGTTGTACCTTGGACCTATGCTCATTCTGGCACTATCTGTTGAGTAAAGATAGAACTTGTACCCTTAGTTTATGCTTTAGCCACCAGAGGTCTATCCTAATGTGTTCAAGTTGGAATTGAATGTGCCCTTTTGAAAAGAAAACTAAAACAAGTTTTTACAAGGAAGAAGTAAGTATATTCAACTTTTAATTTTCTTTTGTTATGTTGGATTTAATGATTGTTTATCTCAGCTGGCAATTTGATGCTATGGACCAACAACTCGGCTACAGTTTCATATGATTCACACCATGTTAATCCTAACCTAGAATAGTTTAGAACCAAGTTTTTACAAAATGCCCAGGTGTTGTACCTTGGACCTAGCTCATAGGTTGTACCTTGGACCATAGTAGCTTAGGCTACTAAAAGCAGACTTTAATAATTCTGTCAAAAAGGTTTATTATAGGCATCTGTAATTTAATTTGCTATAAACGAACAGGACAGAGCCCCCAAGACAGTTAGACGAGGGTAGGCCTTAACTAGCTATAATTGTACTTAAGTGAATTTCTTACAAAATATGATTAAAATATGTATTGTAAGGGCCAGTTTTGTTATAGTTTATAAAATAAAAACTAATTATTAATTTGATAACATTTAAATGCGTTTCTACATTTATTTCCTCTACTTAAAAATCAGTGGTCCAAGATACAACATATATAGGTTCAAGGTACAACATAGGTATTGTACCTTGGTCCTAATGTCAAAATTTTTAAAAAATTGAATAACTTTTTTTTTGTGAAAATAAAGGGTTAAATAAAATATAGGTGTGTATTGTGTTAAAGAACAATGATTACTTTTCACTAACATTTATGGTGTTTTAATGTGTCATATCAAAATAAAAAATAAAAAGGTAAAATAGGTCCTAGGTACAACACCTTCTCATATCAGTTTGAGACGACTCGAGAGAGCCCGACCGCGGCAGGCCCCGGGAGCCGCCCACGGTATTAGGAGCTGTTCCTGGTCCTTTCCCTAAAAAATGTTCATTGTAAAAATCCTGACTTTTCCTATCCCCTTTCTTTTTAAAACTATAATGAGTTTCTACAGGTAAAGTATTTTTTTTTTTTCTAAAACTTGGAGTCGGGAAAAACACGAGACACTAAATGAGGGAGGTTTACAGTGGTATGGTTAGTTTTACGAGTACCGTCGCTATGAATTGATTGACATAACAATATGGCAAGACAAAGTTTACCCCTCTCATTCAAGTGCAGCCCGTGTTTAGTGTGAAGCAAACCCGTTCAAAATTTTCTAGAGATAAGCCCCGAGAGGAGGCTAGCATCCCAACACAAATCATTTTCGTCATTTCCGCCTCGAAGTGGGATAGCCTCTCGGACGCCAGCGTCCTAGTATAATCGTAGCCTACTTACAGTACTTACACTACACTCACTCACTACACTACAATGAAGTGAAGGAAGGGTCCGTGGGTCCGTGCACGTCCGTGTGTGGTGGTGCACTGAGCTAAAATTATAACTGGAGGTAGCACTGCCATGGCAGAAGTCTGTCAAAAGCGTGTCGCTGATTTTGTTAGGTTGGTATAGCAGCAGGTTTTTTCATCCAATAACATGGCTTCTATAACTAGGTTTGCATAGCAGTGAGTTTTTTCATCCAATAAAATGGCTTATTTATAACTCACACCTCACGCAAACATGGCGGCTGGCGACACGCATCGTTGACATTCAGTGCTACCTCCAGTTAGAATTATAGCTCAGTGTGGTGGTGGGGAAGGGACAGTGGAGTGGAGTCGGAGTCGGAGCGGACGGACAGGGGGAGTGGATTTGGTTTTGGTTGGACTTGGACTAGACTAGGACTAGACTAGACTAGGGGGACGGACGGACTTGGACACCGACACAGTGAGTGTGGGAAGAGGGAGGAGGATCAATGTATTTGTGTCATTCTTAGTCGTCTTTTCAGTTTTAGTTTTAACTCGGTTTCTTTATTATTATCCATTGCCGAATACCAATTTCTATAACTAACTTTTACTTGGGTGGGCTTGGACCTCGATAAACTGTCGCTAAGGAATTTTATTGTGTTGGTTTGGTACATCACTTGTATTTTGTGTAACTCACATCATCGGTATAGGGTAGGGGGCCTACTTCAACTTTTGGGCCCTAACTTAAAAGATTCAAAATGTTGGCTTCACCTTCTTTATTAATTGATTGCTTTTAAGGTCTCATAATCCAAAGTTATGTTATTCAAAGGGTTAAACTTGGTGTGGTTTGATATTTTATTGTGTGAACCAATGTTTTATTTCTTCATTTACCCCTGCAATGGCAAATACTTATAGTAGAGATATTTTGAAAGTGGTAGTGGCTCAGATATGTCAAACTATTGGATGGCATACAATATGCACTACTCCACTAGATGTGTTAACTGATGTGCTAAGAAGATTTATTCATGAACTAGGCACAAGTGCTCATCGGTATGGCGAGCAGTGTAAGTACTTCCTAAGCCTACTTTAAATAGGAAAACCTATTACTAATAGGACAAGTAAGTTATTGAGATTTTAAACTATAGGCTAGTTGCCTGGGAGTTATTCTTTCAAAAGAATTTAAGGTATCCTGCAGAGAATAAGGTATAAAGCATTCCGAGAGATTCCATAGACCCTCCCTAAAAGGGCCTGCTGGTCTATGTACGGTATTCTAAACCCCCCCCCCTCATACCCCCCTTGCATCTTTGCATGAAATTGACGAGAGTAGGTAGGCCTACAGTTTATTGTGTCAGATTCTTAGTGGTCGGATCCTGTTACAAATAAGTTAGGCCTAATGGCAAAAGTAGGTAGTTAGTTCCAGTAGACAACAAATCAGGCATAGGCCTAAGGTACATTAAATCTAAGACTGCAAACAAAGGTACCTTAGACCTAGCTGGATATCACTGGCAATGACAAGTATAGCCTAATTGTGTGTGGTCTGTCTTGAGGGGACGTTATCATTAGACTATTGATAATTTATTTCTTCTATACTCCATTCCACATTCACCACGCCGTACAGTTCTTATGAGAGATGGTCGTGCTATTAACATGTAGTGGAAACAACATGCTTTGTAACTTAAATTGTTATAAACAATTGTCCAATTACCGTACCTCCTAAGTTTGCAAATAACTAAGTTAATTAAGCCTAACTTATTGGTGTGGTGGGGTGGGAGGGAACGTTGTTCTCACTCTGCCGATGACATATTGATACGCAATCCATGTTTATCTGAGCCATCTGCCATCTGAGTTATAACTCATCAAAGGCTGAATGGGTTTTAAAAATTAGGCCAAAATATAATTCAAATAAGTATGTCTCCCGTGGTCGAGAACATATATGATGTTAGTCAGTTCTCAGATGAAGGTGATTGTTCCTACACTTACGAAAATGTGCGATAGCACCTAATCCTATGCTAATGTTTGACTCTGTTAGTGAAAAAGGCCCATAAAACTCAGTACGGTAAGATTTATTAAGTTAGTTACACAGAGCACTATCATTGTTTTTCGGACCCTCTGCTACTTGCAGACGCTAAGATTAAGACTTATGAGTCTTGTAGGCTACATACATTGACAAGTGGAGTACTACTGCCCGATAGCCTAGCTTATCAGTCAGCATCATAACCAGGATATCCTTCGATAAATTTCAGTTTAGTATTTTCGTCAGAAAGGGCACCCTTCCAGTCCACATTAAGCAAAGTTCGTAGGATTTCAATGTAAGCAATAATAGCAGTAAAACTACCTACCCATTAATTAGCTAGGGAGTAATCTACGTTATTTCATGCAAGGGTATTACTTTCTAGGCTGCTGAGAATAGGCCTACATGAATATATATGGTTTAACACAAGTTCCTTTTAGCAGGCAATAAAACCTTATCAGAGGTGTAAAGACTGGTCATATCCATTGTCATCAATAATTAATAAATTGTCAAGAATAAATTGCTCAAAGAGGGTCAACAGAACATGATAAATAACCTAGATGTACAGGGAGGCCGATAAGTCTTTACACAATATTTCAGTACGTATTAAACTGTTATAAACACGACTCATCAGCAAATATTTTTACGTGAGTAGTAAGGCAACAATGGGAGGAGAGAATGAAGCCTCACTCTCCCTTCCTAACCACTGCCACAGCCTTAGGACGCGGCGACACCCAGTAGAGAGTAGGGGCGGTGTTTGCACGAGTCACCCCAGAAATACTGAAACGAATGAGCTAAAGATACTAATCGAGGCTGTGGAAATATATTTAGTCCTACACACTTTACAGTTTCTTTTATTAGAGTACGGTTTTTAATAAAATATTAATTTTTCTGTCCGACCTTCACATTTTAAAATGCTAGGCTCTAGTCTGGAATAGTTTTTCACGTTGCTTCAGGCTAGGCCTATAGGGCCGCAGTCTAATCACTTTCATCAAATCCATTAGTGATTGACGGAATTGGACCTGGGACCTCTGGTACCGAACTTCCACGCTCTACCACTAGACCAGCTCGTTCCCCAATAAAATATGAATGTATTCTGTTTTTTCCAATCTGATATCAATAGTGTCATCTAATATGTAATTTACTTGTGTTTCAGTTGGACACACATCTCCGACTGTAACTGACGTGACTTTGGCATTCAAGGACTTGGGTATAAACATATCTGAACTAGAAGAGTATGTGGAGTATGTGGCATCAGTACCATGTGCCGTCAGTGTGCCCAAGTTCCCCTTGGAACGGGAATCTCATCTCAACCTTCTCAAACCAGGTTCTCGAGAGGTCGTCACTCGACCGGTTCATATCCATGAACATTTGCCTGCAATGCATCCACAGTTGGAAGGTATCAAACTCTTACTCCCTCACTTTCAAATCGTATTTAAATTATGTATGCAATTTAAATTATCTTAATTCCATGTATAGGCTGGATAACTTCAGAATTAATTACAGTACACTCTTAATTAACTGAAGTTGTTGATACTGAGACTACCTCAATTGGGGCCAACTGAGAATCTCAGATAACATGGGTTGCTTAGATTTTGGGTTAGTGGTTACGTTACCACAATAGGAAGTCAAATACTTTAGGCTATGTGTTTTTACAATATGTAGTGAATAAAAATATACTGAATTGAATTTTAATGCAAACTTAATAAGGTGGTGTTCTTAAAGAAAGCAATTGAACATAAATGTGCTCAACACTTCTCAAATCATATTGAAAAACTGTAAATACTGTAGGCCCTATAGTTAAAATTGTGCTAAAAACCAACACACTATAGTATTTAAAAAAATATGGTAAAATGGAACTTTCTACTATAAAAAGTATAAAATTACTTTATTATTTGAGTTTGACCTGAGCTAACTTATACTTTACTTGACACTATCTAATCAACATCAAAACATCCCAATGACAAAGACTGGCAAAATGTGGTACAACCTGATAATGCTTTAACGGAAATGCCACTGCTATTGTTTATGTTCTGCAGATGCCTCGTTCAGCTTGTCAACGGTTTGCAGCCAACCTAGTACTGTGTGATTTTAATTGTCTAGGTTATTGAGGACCATTCGTATGTTAAAATAATAGGCCGGTACTATCCTGTTAAGGGGAACATTCATTATTCGATGATTTCTTTTCGATATATCAATATTTTTGTTTTCCTTTACGATGCATATTCCATCTGTTTTAATATCTTAAAACACATTTAAATTACAGACAAACAGACATAGCAAATATGTCTAAGATATACTTGGTTCAATAACCGAGTTATTGAGTTATAGCTCGAATTAGAGAATAGGATTAAGAACTGATCTTGTTTAGGCAAAGATAATAGCCTATATATTGGATTAAGAAATTAAACTATTCTAAACTAACCTAACATAATTAACCAAATTTACTGTAGGCTAAGTTGCCGTTTCAAAATTCTGTTTGATAAAAGAAAATGTGTATGGGGAATATTCTATCAACAGAATTTTGAATTTTTACAGCAAGTTTGGTTAGTTAGGTTATTTTAGAACAGTTTCATTTCAATAGATAATATATTTTTTTATTGTTTCTTGATACTGAACAATATTTATTTATCGTAGTTGTCAGCTGATAAGTTTCAATTTGTTAATATCAATATATCGAATAAAAAAATAAAATATCGATTTCAAAAAGAAATCATCGATAATAATGAATGTTCCCTTTAACAGGAAAGTACCAATAGGCCTACTTGTAATGATTATTTTAGTACCTATTAATTTAAACCAATCACAAATTAGGCTAATTGATATTTTTACTTTTATTGTAATAGAAACATGCGTTAATAAATAATGTACCGGTTATTATTGTTTTCTGGCCAGAAATAAATAAATATATATTTATGCCTAAAACAAATTCGTATAACCTGAGACCTGGACAACCTGAGGGCTTGGACAATCCAGAGTGTACTATATAAACCAGAGGCCTTAATGTCCAAGTAATCCTGGAGTCATAATGAGGGTTTTGAGAGTGATTTTCAAGTGGCAAAACGTAAAATTCTTTTCTCGTACTGTAGAGGGTTGTCATACTCTTAAAATAACACATACAGATAAAAAAAATCAAACAAAAAACAAGAAAATGCATAGCCACACTTATCAATAAACTCATAAATTTATAACGTAAAATTCTTTACTTGTTGGAGGCCGTCATAAGTCTTAAAAACACTTCAAGACATATCCTGGACACAAACAAAATATAAAAAAAAAAAAAAAACATAAATATGTTGTCCAACAATTAATTTTGACTTTTTGCGTTTGTGACTTTAGGCCTACATGTCAACTTTTTTATTAAGACTGCCACCTACATACGTGTTAAAACCAGTGGCCATTGATTAGACGACTCCAGAATTACTTGGGACATAACCTCTTGATGACTTATGAAAGGTCCTGTATTATAAAAAAGTAATTCCTAATTTTGCTGAGTATTCAATTGTGTTTGGAACAACAGATTGTATATAGGTAGAAATAAGCTTTTAATCATTGTTAATTTGACCTTAAATTAGAGGGTGTGTGCTGTTTCTAGACTCTGAAAAGTACAATGATAATCCTATTGAGATATAAAAAAAATCCAAAACAAGTCATAGCTCATATTTTATTTTGTCAATTTTTAAAACAGGAAAAGTGATTTACGGACATTTAGATAGTCAGTAGCCTATCATCGGTTTTTTGTGCAGTATGATAAAAAAATGCTTTACATACCATCAATATATTATAAGAATATATTTTACCTTTTGAATTTACATTCATATTTGTTAAATATTAGCTTTAATTCAAAATTAAATATAATAAATTGTGTCTATTACCGACTAATTGTGTGTGGTATCAATTTTTTTAGGTCCTGTATACATTTATTTTGAGCATAGGACCTATTGCGACCCGAAAATATTTGTCTTGATTTTATACTATCGTAGAAGAGACTCATCTCAGCGATCTGTTTTTATAGTTGATTTGGAAATGATTATAAAATAATTAATACCACTATCTATTTCTTCTATCTCTCATATTTCTTTAGTAAAAAAATATAAAACGTGAGGTTAAATAGTAATGAAGTCAGCAAAAACCAGAAACTTTGCATGCTGTTGCAAAAAAGTGAAGGAGAATCAAAAACCTTGCATCAAACTGACGAAGAAATTAGTTCTGAAAAAGAACATGGTTAAAGCAGTGCTACCAACCGCAAATAAAACCTACGTTTCTATAACTTTTTAGTTAGCCTATAGAACAGTAGGCTAAGGGTTTTAATAACACCCTCAGAAAACTGTTTGGGCACTAATTAATCAACATAGAAATTCTGCTAAACCGAAATCTAATGCAAGCCCTGATGAATTTAACAAATTCTTTGTTAATAGAAATTCTGCTAAACCGAAATCTAATACAAGCCCTGATGAATTTAACAAATTCTTTGTTCATTCATTAACGAGATTGTTGACAAACCTCGGTTCTCCTGCTCTGGATGGGACATGCTTGGTTGGCGTTATATAAATCAGTAGCCGTTATATGAATCAAATATGATTGGTTTGGTATATTACAGTAGAGTCCCGCAAACTCTGCGTAATGTGGACTGGAAGGGTGCCGAGTTTGTGAAATGCCGGGTTATCGGGAACTAGGGTTAAAAATAAGAACAATCAAATTTTTAAGATTTTTAACTAGGTACCTTTTTTATTTATATTTATATTACAAGTCAGTATAAAGCCATCAGATAGATATAGCTCAACAAATCCTTGGTACGAGTTGCGAATGATTTGATTTGAGCTGGCTTGCATCAATGTTTAACGGACCGGACTCAAAAAATCACTAATTTTCTGAGCCAGGTGATGGTTGAGTTATCCAGACTGCCGGATTATCGAGTGCCGAGTTAGCGGGACTGTACCGTATTGAATTCTGTGTCATGGTATAGTTTATTTACAGAAGAACAAGGGAAACAAAAGACTAATTGAATAAAAAAGTACTGTGCCGCAAGATATGCTATCGAGTGTTGCCGTGATCGTGGAAGACGATCATTGTATCGCCGAGACCTTATAATATGGTTACGAGTGTTACCAGGATCGCAGGAGACGATCACGGTATCCCCGGGATTGCCAGATCAAGGGAGACAATCATCGGTGTTTGCTATTGAAAAGATTTCTTTTTATTTATTTACATTATTAAGCCTTAACTAGGCTTAACTCTGCAGGCCGGAAAAAATCTATTTGTGGCACCCCTTGGTGGGAAACCCCTGAAATTGAGGGTTAAGAATGCTACTAATGGATATTAGATCTTGTTTTGCGTATTTTTTTCTTATACGTTCAATCTCAGCTACCTACTTAGCCAATACTCTGCCTAATGTACCTACCCTACCCTAAGTTACAAAAAGGTGCCAAATGTAATCGAGTGTGCTCAGAAAACTTATTTAAATATCTCCTAAGACCAAAGTCATTTAATTTAATATGCTGGATTAGCGGGTCTAACTGTCCTAAAGTAGCCAGAAATTCATTCTCTAAGCCTCATTACAAAATTTAATATAAGGTTTCTTAGCACAAAAACTACTGATGAGCCCCCTATATATATCTCAAGAGTACCATCTTTTCATATCCAACCTAGTCTACCTGGAAAAAGTTTCTGCTAGCAGTTGTGCAATTTTCGACGTAATGCCATCCCATGAACCACTATTTTGAACATGACTAAGCTCCCATGTTTTCATTATAGAAGTTCATATGTATATGTGTGTATATATGTGTGTGTGTGTTGTATGTATGTATGTGTGTGGGTATATGTCATTCTTATATAAAGTGTGTTGTGACATAAACAAAATTTCATTGAACTATTTTCTTTCCAGCCCTTAATTTTTGTTCCTCTGGTAAGGCCTATTTTTTTCCTCTCTGTTATCCCACTTGTTAGAGTTTTATCTATGACATTTTTCTGACACCAAACATATTTAAAAGTTTCTACTGTATATAATTTTATACTGCTTTTATACCAACTTTTGGGTTTATTTTATTTCAGAGGAAGAATACCTAAAACAGTTGCCCTTGTCTGTGGATATATCAGGTGCGGAATCTGGGACTTCTCCGTTGTCAAGTCCCAAAAACAGTATTTTTAAGAGACCAGGTGATCCTGTATCTATTGAGAATAATCTGCTTAAGAGAGCCAGGTCTGTTAATCTATTTACTATGCTTTATATTAAATATTCTTATTAACTAAATCTAAAAATAAAGAAATATAAATGTGAAGTTGTAAATTTAGAAATATCTATTTGACATTACTATGTGATATTTTATTGTAGTGTATTAGATTTTTGTATATTCAGAATTTTCTGGGCAAACTTTTAATATCATCTACTGATTCTTATTCAGCATGACTATAATCATGTTCATAATAACTTTTACATGTCTTTTTGTTTGATATGATCCAAACCAATTCTGAACTCCACCACTAATCATCTTATATAATTTTGGCAATAAGTATTTCATTGTTATTCAAAACACCTGGGGTTAGCCATAGAAATACCTACTTCCTTCTGTGACTTAGCGAAACCTCCTGCTATATGATTAGTTCTGCAATTGGATAAACATTACTGCTTCCTAGCAATATTTACCATAACCTCTAATTACTCTATTATTTGCTGTACTCCTAAATAATTAATTGTATTTTATGATTCAGAATGATGTTGGAAGAGGAGGGAAGGCCTTTGAGAGAAATCAGTTCTGTAATGATGACGACCTCGGGTTTCCTGTCCCCGGCCCGCGAAGGGAAACTGCCTGAGGCTCGAACACCAACTCAGTCCTCTGACTCAAGATCCAGCTCTCCCCAACCCCTCTCCTATCCCACCGTACCTCCTGAGGTTAAAGGAGAAAAGAAAGTGAAGAAATATGCCAATAAACCAGCAGCAGAAGGAATTAGAAAGATGGCAGAGAAAGAAATGTCTCAAAAACTCCCTGAATTTTCTACTTCAGCTCAAGCTGCCGAAGACGATGATACAAATGTCAAAAAGTTAGTGAGTATGAAAGAAATGTATAAACTCAAAGCTCTAAAGCCTAAAATGCATTCACCAAATAACAGCGTCTCAAGCACATCTGGCAATAAAAATAAATCTAATAAGCATAAAGGTGCGGGAGGAATAAGCGCGGCAATATCATCATTGCCAAAAATTCCTAAGATAGGTCAGAATAAAAATAAGTGTGATAAGACATCTGCCAATTCACAGAGCAATAAATCTTCGACAAGTGAAAAATCAAAAGAAGTCTGTGTAATAGAAGGCAAGTTGTCATCTGAACCGGATAAACAAAAGTTGAATATTTTTAAGAAGATTTCAAAAGTGAAGGAAGATAAGGTGGAGGTAGACTCTACAAAAAATAGTGAATCCCCTTCTTCAACTGTAGTGGAAACAGACACTAAACAGAGAGATGTGAGATGGGCTCAGATCAGTGAAACTATTGAGGCAGTGATTCAGAAAAGTCGAGAACAGCCAGCTCCCTCGCCAGAGGTTGATGTAGAGTCTTCTGACTCTGAACTGTTCCCATACGATGACGATCTGTCCCCACCAGGTACACCTTCCACTCCTCGTACCCCCGATCTGATCCCTCCTCAGAAGAAATCAGAAAAACACATGGATTCAAAGAAGAAAAAGAAAGGAAAAAGAGATAAAGACAAACGGGATAGTAGTTACTGTCGTAGCCCCAGTCCCAAAAGGTTTAAGTCTGAAAGCACTGAATCGGATTACTCTTTTCTTGATAAACCCAAAACTCCTGAAGTGGAATCCAGTAGAGAGGAACCGGCTGTTTGCATGCTTCCTCGAAACAGGGAGGATATTATGACTAACCATGTCTTCCCCTTCTTCCCCTACGCTCCACAACCGGGTTTGATACCAACACCCATCAACCCATCGATATTTAACAGGTTGAACATGCCTCTGGGGAAGCAGCCTGGACTGATTCCCCATCCTGCAATGCCTAACCTTCCCCTCCCTCCACCACTGATAACTCATGCTAACAAGCACGAAGACAAGGAACCTCCAGTCAAGTCTAAGAAGCAGTCATCATTATCTCCTGCCCCTCACAGCTCTCCCTCCTCCCCTGTCACAGTGTCCACTATCACAGCCTCAGACACCACTGACTCACCCCCTGCGGTCACATCCACTACTTCTACACCTAAAGAAAAAGACAAGGTGAGTGCAAACTGGACGTTTGATACATGCCAAAGTTTCTATTTTGTTTACAAAACAGCAAAACTGTCTTGTTTGGTCATTTATTTGACTTTCCATTTTCATCAGAAAACAAAACCTCATAAGGCAAATTTTTCTAAATTTATAATTGTAATTAATATTTCTTGTGGTGTTAAAAACACATTTATTTTTGTTGAAATATTTAAACTCTCTGATCTTATATTGTGTTTCAAAATGTGTTCTATTATGATATCGAATCATACGATCATTCAAAGTTGAAGATAAGATTAAAGAATGTCATTTGAAAAGAATAGTCTTAGTAATTTGCTAATCAAAATTAATAGACCAGTGCCAATTGGTTAACTTTGATCCAACTCTACTATCTAGGGATTTTCATTATTTGATAATAATAACATTACCCGACCTTTTGTTGATTAGAAAAAGGAACATAAGAAAGAAAAGAAGGAAAAAATTAAGAAGAAGAAGGATAAAAAAGATAAGGTGAAAAATAAAGAAAAGGGTGAGAAGAAGAAGATTAAAAGTGGCAAGAAGATAAAGGACAAAGAAAAAATTAAGGAGAAAAAAGAAAAGAAAGAAAAGAAGAAGGATAAAGAAGTAAGTACAAGAATTTATGGTCTGCATCTAAACATATAAATTTTTGTGGAGTTAATATAATAGGTGTTTTGCATTGGCGCCACTTGGGGCGGTGCTATCACCGCCATCTTAGTATCAGAGCATTCCTACACTCAGCATGCATCCAGCTACGGTAACAGGTGTAAATAACAGTAGAAACCCTCCATTTCTGACCTCGACATAACAGCATAACCGACCTAGCCCCATTAAAAGCTATACACATCTACAGAAGTGTGTGTATTGGAAGTTTTGTACTTTTTACTGTTAGAAATAAAAAATAGTCTTAATTACTGACTGTTGGTTAATGATTATTTATTGTTTCAATATAAAACAGTGTTAATGGAACTAAAAATTGGAATTTTCCAGAAGTACCTGTCTAACACTGATTCTTAAGCATAAAAAGATACTAGATTTTTATCTAAATATGTAATATGTAGCGTGAAGAGAAGGAGAAGGTGGTTGAGACCACTACGGCAGTTCCAAAGCTGACGCTGAAACTTGGACCTGCTTCTCCGCCTTCCAATTCTGATGCTGGCACCACTCATCGTAAGATGTAAGTAAATGGTAGCAAACCAACATCAAATCCAAAATGACATTGTAATTGGCAAATCAAGTACCAAAACTGAGTTTCAGTCTCACATTTTTATATTTCTGATTGTCTTCAATTTACACATTCCTTAACATTTTGCAATGTAGTTATAAGCACATATCTCGGAAGTTGTGTATTATTTGGAAAATGTTATAAGTTGACATTGAATAGCAAAACTGTTGATAGAATAACACATTTCTATCTTAAAATGCCAAACTGAAGCTGTAACTTAAAACCTTAATCGCTTTAATGTCCATTTTCTTATCTAGTTGAAATTTGCAACTATTGTGCGTATAGAAAATAATTCAAAACGTGAAATAATAACTTGTTTCTGCTCAGCAGAATTCTTTTAGCCTATCAGGTCAATCTATTCTGAAAACCTATAACTTTTCCCTAGCTCCAGACAAGTAATACCGTAGAACAAACACAGCTATACTTCACATGCTTTTTTATTTTTAGCCTAATGTTTTTATTCTTGTCTCACTACCAGATGTACACCATTAGTTTGTCAATTGAACAAGCTTTTTACGAGCACTTTTCACTGGATTGCTCATGTCACTGTTATTATAGTTTCCCTTTAAAACTACAGTATTAGCATAGATAAAACATACTCCATTAGTAGATTTGTCATCCTTATGGAACAGCTAAAGCCAATTTTATTGTTAGTTCTATACATCCAACTGTAGAGGTCGTGTGTTGTTTACAATTTGTTTATTGTTATTTCAGTTATTTAAAACCTCATTTAACCAAATAAAACAATATAATCATAAACAATAACTGTCTCCTAGTTATATAACCAAATAGTAAAGCACAAATCATGAAAATAACTCTAAAATAAAAGAAACAAAATTTCGTCTACCCCAGTGATCAGTGTGGACGTACATGAACTAGACACAAAAAACTAGCTTCAAAATTTACAATGGGATGAGGAGTCTACTTGTGTTGCTTAGTCTATCGTATTAGTCTCTTATGGTATTAGAAAGTAGGGGTTAAAACATTAAATATACGTGGGCTGTCAGTAAACTAAGGCAAAGGAGCTAGTTCAAACCAGATACCAGCCCACGGATTCTCTACTTCATTGAGTACTATTCTAACCGGTTTCAACCTGTTTGCAAATATTATTCTCGTAGTAATCAACGATCAACTCTTCTGCCAAGTATGAAAGCCTATTGAAACACATCGCAAGTTGATGTATTTGTATGGAGAATAGTATCTAGTTGTCAAGCACACAGAAGGCCGTACACATTCACTCAAGTCACAGGTGTACAACAGTTCATATCAGTGTGTTCACTTCCGATCTCTCTGCTGCAATCTGCATGCAAAATTCCTCTAACTTTTGTCACTACCTCAAACAAAACTGATCAAAACGATCAAGGCCAGCTTCTTCATGTAAATATTTAAAAACTTTGGAACTCCCTCTCTCACACACATACTTTATGTCTAAACACTTAATGACCACAGAAATCTCAAAACCGAGTGCAATTCATACTTGAGAGCAGCATAAATTATTCCTTGATTTGCAACTACGACAAGACTTATGTGTCAGATAGAGGAAGCAATTTTTAGGCAACCCTCATATTATATAGGCTACTCATTTCATTCAAGAAATTTTTCAGGTTTGTGATAGGTAAAAGTAACTGTTAATATAAAGTGGGCTGAGTTAAAAAACAAATTTTTACATTATAATTCCTATCAAATCCACTGGGTTTAAGGGTCTTTGTCTTTATTTTAGAACATAAAATACCTCATCTGTAACTCGTGGTTGTCTTTGCTGTCAAGTTTCATACCATTTATGAACATTTGTTACAAAGAAACTCCATAGTCTCGAATTCTCAACAGCTTCATTCTGTAGAAAATAATCCCAATGTTTTTCATGCTTCTCGGATTTAGGGGGTAAGCCTAAATATAATTATGACTATTGTATTTCTTGATTAAATATTTAATGTTGATTATGAATAATTTACTCTTTGTTTAGTTAACCTATTTCGCAAGTCCAACACATATTATTGACCGACTTAAACAGGGTATTATAATAATGAACCCATTTTCCAGCCAAAGCTTTACTGCATGAATCTATTATACATTTTTAAGCTCATTGTTGTCTTGAGTGTGTCTATTTCAAATTAGAAACCAATAGTTCTAGTTTTTAAATGTGTAGATGTTTTTAAAATTAATATTAAAGTTTTGATAACTTTTAATCTGAACCACTTTTTACAAACAGACTATAAGCCAACTACCTGAAATTATAGCAAATAAATATAAAAATAAATTTTAAATGGGTATGCATAATTGTAATCTAATGGACTTCAAAATCTGGTTCTTCAAAATCTTGGTTTCTTGGAATCTATTAGAAACGTTTACAGCATATGGTCGTTGTTTGAAGTAGCAGCATTGATTGTTTAGTTGTTTAGTTATATAGTGTAGTTTTGTGTCTATATGTTGTGTTATATTAGTTATAAAAAGTAAATCAAGTTTTATACTGAGTTTTAGACGTTTTAATGCTGATTTCATGGCCATTAGTAATGACTTTGGCCATTTTTTTTTTATGTTGTAATACAGCTTACAGCTGTAGTAATTTGACAAAAATAACAAAGAGAAATGAGGATCTAAAAAACTAAATGAAGTTTTATGTGTACAGGTAAATGTTAATTTTAAAATTAGGCCTACTGACAACCCTCATTATACCCTCAAATTACAACTATTAACTCTGCCTTTTTGTGTTAGAGTCTTAAATTTGTAACATTTTCTAAGCGATTTTACCTCTAAAGTAAGAGTTTTGGTATGATTTATTTTTACCTTTTTATTTTACTTTTATTGCAGTAATAAATTAATGTACATACCTCATTTCTTAAACAAACCTTACAGTTCTCCATTTCTGAACCCAGATTTATTTGACTAGATAATCTGACTGACCGTAGCACTTCTGTTTTCTGTTTACCTTTCAATTCTGGGCATGTCTCGTAGCTTTTCAGTTTTTTCTTCAATTATTTATATTTTGATTCTAATTCAATAGCACTATTGCATAATATTTCACCATGAATAAGTTTACTGCAATTTTTCCTTCTCATTGTTTTCATTTGTCCGGTGTTTTATCCTGTGCTGAGTTACACAGTAAAGGTCTGATTATCTGACATTTATTGTATTTTGTCCCTGGAATGTTTCTTTATCTGTCAATCATGAGGGGTCAACTTCTTATTCTTAACTGTCTATTTACGTACTAGACAGTCAGGTATTCAGGAAAATACATTAACAAAACAGTATGGAAGGTGATAAAGACTATGTAGCGACCACCTCCTGAGACGAGATCATTCTCTTATCATGAAAAAAATTTTTAGGCACAAAATAAGGTGAATCATGACTGCTAGGCCTTTTTTGCCTGGCCTGTACAAATCGAAATCGTCGTCAATCGATTTGTTTGAACCTGATGTTTAATATACCATTTAAAGGGCAAAATAAAAGTGTTCTTGTTCTTAGAATCTTTTCATGAATGAGCCATTTGTTAGTAATTTAATCTATTTAAAATGGCCACAATTTTGAAATAAACAATTTTTTTTATTATTTTTTTTTGCTCTAATAGTTTTTGGCTGTAAAAAATTGTATAGTAAATTTCATAAATATATCTTATCTAAATGTATAAAAATACCCCTGCCGCAGCAAACCTGCCGACTAAGTGAATTTCCATTTGTCTGAATTGATTTTCAATTAAATGTATTTAAATAACATTAGGTTTAAGAAGTACCTAGGTTTGCTGTTACAAGGTAACTAAAAAAGTGTATTTTTTAGTAAAATATTAATACCTTAGTATAAAATAAATAAATTTGCCAAGTTTGATCAAAATATATCCATAAATAAGCAAACTACAACATTTTACAATATTCTCCATAAGAATAACACGGGAATTTTAAATTTACTATTTTTTTTCTCCGTTACCAATAACCATACAAAAATAGTTTGCTACAAAATTATTTGTTTTTTAAGCTTTTTTAAAAAGGTCTTGAGGGAAATTGGGAAATTCTGTGTTTTGAGGGCCAGAAATGAGAAACCCATTTCTTTACACCATAAAACCCCCCGTAAACACTGTTCCCATGGTCTGATCATGCTGGTTCGCGAACTCCTTCAAGTTATCCTGCCTTGTTTTAACCAAATTTGATCAAAATTGGAGAAAAATTACTCAAGTGTTCACAGAAGTATATATATAAATCTGAACGAACAGTGTTTTTGGCCTCTGGGGACATCATTATGAAAAAGTAAATCGGTCCCGGGCTTAGGTCTTACCGTGCCACTTACGATACTAACTACTGATTTCCTTTAGGGAAATTCGCAAAAACGAAATGGCGGATATCTCACTTTTGATGCGTTTATAGAAAAAGATTTTATTCTTGATTGGCCTATTATTTTGACCAATTTAACTATTCTTAAATTCGTTGTGCTTACTTACGGTACACCCTGTATATTTTTCATGAAAAAACCAATTAGGCCTACTTAAATTTTTGACTGAACATAATTATATTCTATACTATTGTATAATCAATGGTTTTACTATGTGCTAATAGTTGTGCTTGACGTTGACAGTGTGATCAAACCAGTCGTGGAGCCGAAGGTTGAAGAGAAGCGCTCACCGAGCCCTGAGCTTGCACGCATCTCAGCACTAGTCACTAGGCCCAGTCCTGCCAACAGTAAGCCGACACTTCCCACCTCTCTTGCTCTGTCTGTCCAACCAGTGGCTGAACCTTCCCACACATTCCCTCACCCTTCCCTCAAGAAGCCCCCACTCAAAACTAAAGAAGTCCCTAAGAAAGTGACCTCGGGCGAACCTGAGAAAAAGGAGCCTGTCGCTTTCTACTTTGTAAGTAGTCGAGCACGTTGCCTACGAATCCGAAACTTTTACACATTTGTTGACCTGTTGATAATCAAAAGATGACAAAACATGGAAACTTTAAAATTACTTGTAATGGGGAAACTACATTATGTACAGAGGTTAACAAAAATTAATGCAACCTAAATTACAAGTACCGCAAGACTTTTTAAATGGCAAAACAAGCTCATAGATGGTATTTTCTTTACTTCATTGCTAGTCAGCTAATATGCATCGTTGCCATTTTATCTATGAGTTTAAGTGTTATTGCCTGGGAATTTATTGTGAATAAGACTCAACATGGGGTTTTCACAATCTCAAAGAATGTATACTTCTATACTATAATATTAACATCAAAGGTAAATCATTGGTTTTATGCCAAAATATGTTTGAAATATGCTTACTAGTTATTCCAGTACCTAAGAAATCAACTATTCATGAAATTGCACAAAATTCAAGGTAATCAGATCTGTAGAAAACAAAAAAAATGTAGACCAGTAATACATACTCTATTTGAGCTTGCAAAAACACCACGTTGAGTTTTATTTACAATACATTCTCAATAACACTAAACCACATGGATATCTATGCAACAATGCATACCAGATGATCGGCAATGAAGTAAAGAAAACAGGGATTGATAACAACAAAACCAGCCGAAATGGTGGTACAAATAAGCAGGTTTTGTCGTTAAAAAAATTTCTCTCAGTAGTTGTAATTATTTTAGTTGCATTTATAAAAAACACTTTTTATTTTGTTTTGGAATCCAAGAAACGTAGTGTAGGCTAATTTTAATTTTAAAATGTATAAAATATTAAGCTACCAATTTAAAAGGCATAGAATATTTGCTTTTATTAGAGGAAACTTTATCCTTCTATTTTGTTCTAGTAAATTGTTTGCCATCTCAGTGTGTATGAGCACAGTTGGCAGACATGTAGGCCTACAGAAAGAAAAAAACCTTTGTTGCCATAAATACCCATTTACAAGCAACAACCTATCCAGTTTCTTTTTAATGATTTTCTAGATTTTACCAACAGTTTAAACGAAAAGATTCATTTTGCTCTATAGTTTATTTTAAGAAGAATATCAATGGGTTAACAATGTTGTAACTTTAAAATAACATTTTTGTTATTGAAGAATTAATAAGGCTGTATTTTTTTAGATCAAAAACAATTTCCTGTCAGTATCGTTTTATGAATACTTTGATTTTCAAGAATATTTAATTGAACTTTTAACTTTTTGATAAATTAGTAAAATTTGTTTGATACAATTATAAAATTTGTAATGAAACACCTAGTTGTATTAGTTGCTTGGAAAGAAATTTTTTTTGTACTTTTGATGCAAAACTAGGACTAACTAAACTATGTGTTTGAATTTAGACAATACGTCATTTCAGTTATTTTATAATTTATACCTAGGCTTAATGCATATTGGTGTCTGTCTTTTGTGTGGATGGTTGTACTTTGAAATTAGATTTTTTTTATATATTAATGATGCCTATATTTCGAGAATTGTGTGCAGGTCAAACGTTATAAGCTGGGATTATTTTTACAACTGCATGTATTATTTTTATACAATCAGTTAATTTTATAGGGCAATATTTATAGTAGATAAGTCCTACTTTTCAACTTGACTTCCATTTTTAGTAAAACCTTATTTTTCCTTAAAGAATTTATTGAGTACTTCAGGCGATTGATATATTGCGGATGTTTCAAAATAGAGGTGTTCAAATAGTGATTTTCAACCTCGAGCCGAGCCGAGCTTTTTCGAGTCGAGCTTTTTCTAACCTCGCCTGATCTGAATTAAAAAGCCTAATTTTACTCTCCAAAGATTTAACATAATAGTCTAACCTACAAGGCTAATTGAAAACGTAGAACTAAAACACAGACAACACTCTGAACAAGCAATCTTTCATTTCATCCGTATTTATTTAAATCTTCAACACTCGATATAATTTCTCTTGTAGGCTACTCTCACTAAATTTGTAAAACTGACAAGGTTGTGACTGATAGTGTAAGAGGCAATGGTTTTTCTAGCCCATTTCATTCGTGTTTAATTTCTATTTTTAACACTTGAGATAGGGTCTATTACTAAGTCTCACTAAATTGTAAAACCGACCCGGTCGACAGTAAGCGTGAGATGTGACTAAATTCTAAAATAAAATATAAATAACAAAATATTGTAACAATAGAGAAGTAATATAAATATTACTATTACAATAATTAATTGTAAATTATAATAAATACAGTATTATAATTATAAATATTAATTTATATTACTTCTCTGTGGTGTAGTGCTCATCGTCAGTAGTTGGTGGGTCAAGTACATTGGTACTAGGGGCTGAACAGGGGATTGTGGGATTGAGCTGGTTGATTCTTCTAGTTGGTATCAATATAAAAACATATTTACAGCGTCTTGATTTTATAGCAGAGTTGCCGTGCTAGTGATACCTCCAGTTGTATAATTTCTAGCTCAGCGGATGTTTGCTATGGTAACAGCTCTAGGATTTTTCAGTCTACGACTATTTAATTTCGTAAAAAGCAAGAGCGTTTCTCTAATTCCGTTTACTTATAAGACTTAGATACAATAAATAACTTAAAGCGCAAGATAATTTTGGGCTGGCATGAACAATGAACTACACCAGTTGTCTGATTCAGTATTTAAACATGGATCGATACAAATCACAAAATTAAAGTGGTTTAAATACCTGTAATGTCGACAATCCCAAGTGGTTGTGAAACAACTAGTTTCGGCTCATAACGGAGCCATCTTCAGGTTTTCCAAGGACATAATCACTTCTTCCGAAGGTCGTCAAAGTTCACAAATAATTTACATACATTTAAAAAACACGTAACACGCATGCCTAGGCCTAGCTTTAACGACGTGACCGGCGGGAGTTTACGTCTAGAATCACAAAACATTGACCTTAGCCTCTTCCGGCTTAAATAAAAGGAGTTTTTGATGTGCATCGTCACTATTTACAGTTTGAATACTAATTATAGTTTCTAACTTTTTATCTGCAGATGTTGTCTAATCGAAAGCCAACCAGAACTATATTACTGTATCCCAACCTTATTGCACATCCAGATATGAAGTTTTTGGTGACCTTATTCCTATTCGTAAAATATGTGCCCGGTAGACACCCTGTATATATATATATGTCTACTTTAATATTCAACTTCCATGTACTTCTGGTGATCCTGCCCCAAGATAATCGAGGTTCTACTATTTACAGGAAAATCATGATTGTGTTCGTTTTTGTAAAGAATTGGAGTTGATACGACTTTAATTATATGGATATGATAATAAACTGAAAGTGTACGGTAATTTTAAGCTGTGCGAGGTGATGCTGGTTTCCTGATCGAGTTTCTTTTCACCAAAACAAATTGTTTACTCTGAGTCTGAGACGTGAATTACGTGTTTTAACAACATTTGCTTCCAGGAAAAATGAATACATGAACAACGTAGAATCGTGATAGCTTTGTTATGAATTACAACACTAATTGAGCATATTTTTACTTAGTATTAAAAGCTCGGCTCGAACTTGGAAAGCTCAAAGGTTCGAGCACTCGTACACCCCTACGTAAATCCTAATCAGGTCTTAAAAATTGATGAATCCTCAGTTGGTAAAAGACTATTCACTTACCTAATGGGAGCGCACTCCTAGATCGGCTGGTGTAGTGGAGGTCAAGTTCAAATTCCACCAACCACCTAAGACTTGGAGCCATGTGATATCATAGTTTGTAGCCCATTTTAAGCGGTTCCTTTTAGAAAACAAAAAAGGATTTGTCTCACTGTCCGTATTGCAAAACTCCCTTCTCTTGTAGATATACGATAATATACACTTTAGTATTTTGTAATTTAAAATAATTTTCTTGTTTCTGTTTAATGTCGTCAACATAAAAGACATGCAGCCAATATGGTATATTTAAGTGTTAATGTCCTCACCTCCCACCCTTACCTCATGTCCACATGTTCTTTGGCCACATCCGTAGAAGGGATTTGATGGCTTAACGGATGCCCTGTGTAGCACTCTTAGTATCTATCTACTGTTAGATTTCAAATCACAAGCTGAGAAAATAAATCTCAGCTTCTTGCATGTGCCGTTATTGTAATTGTAATTGTAGACCAGCTACAGTATACTCTCTTCACTTTCCTTCTTCTGTTAAAAAATTGTTTTTCTTCGTGATTAATTGTAACATTTGTATCATCGTCAAGTTGATTTGCAACGATTTCTGAAGTTGTAGTTCTTGCGTGTGTTGGTTTGACAATTATTTTTTTCCTCATAAAAAAAAAACTGATGAAATCTCATTGCTGAAACGATAAACTCCCATTTTATTTGATCTTTTTGAAAGTACCTTTTACATTATCTTTTTTTTTTTATTCACCGTAACACATTTTGATATGAAAATTGCACGGAAGAGTAATATGTAACTGCCAAACAGTGTTTTTTGATCCTAAGTTGCCTAAGAATTGTCATCAAGGTTATGTTTGGTGGGATAAGATAATAGTAACATGGTCTCATACTGCACACATCTGATCCAGGATTACAGGTAAAGTACTAAATCACCCGATCTAGAGCCATGAAGACCCAAGTACCTTGAATAGTGTAAGTCAACCATTTCAACCCTTCCCAATTTCATTTGCTTGGCCCGGTTTACCCCGTGATTTTTGTTTCACTCAATGGTTAATGATTTTTTCTATCCCACAGTAGGCCTACCATAAATGTATTATGTTCCTATACATACGTATATACTACAATTATGTAAAATGAATTCTGAAATCTATTTAGTTATATTCTCAATTTAAATTGAAAAATTTATAAATGTCAATGAATATTGTAACATTAAACTTATAAAAAAATTAAAGAGCAATTATTATGATTTGTAGTTTCTAATTATAATTGATATTCTATATGGTATTAAATCAAAAGAGTTTATTTACTCATAAGGCCTGCATTTAAACATTTACTACTCCTAAAAAACTAATAG